GGGAAAGAAAGATGACAGGAGTGAGGGGTTGGAAATGTGGAAACTGCACGGTGAGGTGGGAAGGAGGTGGCAACGTTAAAGGGGGACATGTCTTTGTGTTGGTGCACTGGACTCGGAAATAGCTCATCTACACCGTCTGAGTTGGGCACCCTGACTTAAAAATACTACCAAAGCAAACGCAGTACTTTCAGGGAGGAAGGCAGTATGTTCTCCAGGCCCTTATCCTCTGCTGGGTGAGACAAGAAGTAATGGGCTTGAACTGCAACAAGGATGCTGCAGCTCAGACTTTAGGAAACCCGTCGTAGCAGCAGCAGGAAAAGTAATGCTCTGGAAAGCCTTGTCCGAGCAGATGAGGGCACCTCCCTCACTGGCGTAACTGAGTAACAGGCCAGCTGGCATCTATTGAAACGGAACCTGGTACAGTTTGTCCTGACTTCAGGGCTGGGGACTGTCCTTCACAATTTATTGAGGTCCTTTTCGGTGATTAAGCAAGAACAGAGGAGAGACAACTCTGAAAACATTTAAATAGCACCAAGTGATGTCCTTTAACCTTACCTTTGTTTTGAAAGGGATTTTTGGAACTGTAGTAAAAGACTTACTAATATTGGGTGCTTGATACAGTGGTGTATAATTCTAGTCATAATATGAGTTATGGGCTGCTTATCAACAGCCCTTATTACCCCACTTCTAAGGCCTTTTGTTGACAAAGATAAATATGCAGGGATGTCTGTAAAGCAAGCAGAGCAATCTAAGCAAGAGCATCCATAAGGTCCTCTGTTATTCTCCATACTGAAACTGATAGAAACACATTTTTCTTCTTTCCCTGATGCATGTCACACTGAGGAATTGTACGTATTACAAATACCCCGTGTATCTGGCCAAACACATTAAGGGAGGTCAGCTTCATTTTTAACTGAAGTGTTCTGAACTTACCAGCTCTCAGGATATGAAGGAGCAGTAACAGAAATCCATATCTAAAATAAAATAGCAAACAAGAGTGTTACATGATAGACTTTAGCATCTCTGTTGTTTATATAAGCAATAAACCTAATATTGATTGTTTCAGTATAGCAGCAGAAGTAAGTAAATCAGGTACTGCTACTATGTAATGTCCCATTAAGTATTTGCATTTTTGACAGCTGCAAAACTTCTATTCAAATGACATAACTCTGTGGGTGGGTGGCCAAGGCCGCGAATAGCAGTAAAACACACTAATATTGGAATCAGAGCAGAAGGCATGAAGCTGGTGTTGTGCCTGTCTTTCTTGTGAAAAATAGAACCATATAGACTTAGTGGACAAATAGGCCCTGGAGGATATCTGGATCACTGAGAAAGGAGCACAGCTGCACGGGCCTAAATCCAGGTCAAAGCCCTGCATCCCACTGTTCCACTGAAACTCAGTGAGTTACTGTTTTATCTGGTTAAAGGATGAAAAGCAGCTGACCATGCTGCCCACCGTTTTGTGCACTCAGTAAAAATGTGTAAACAGGAAACGTGCTGATAGCAGGGAGCTGTGCAAAGGTTTTGCTGGAAGGAATTTGGTGTCTTTGATTACGTCACAGGGGTAAATCTATGCAAGAATTTCCCAAGAGAGTTACACCTGCTAGATGGTATAGGAAAACCCAGTTTAACCTATCTACAAAGTCCAGGTGATTTAACTGTCATCCCATAGGGCTTTAAGAAAGATAAACATGCAGCACTTCCCTAAGAGTGACTTTAAAATAGCCTTTCACCACCATGCGTAGCTATACATTGTGCTCTCCTTCCTCCAGACTGCTGTGGGAAAGGAAGACACTGGAAAGGTTGTGGAATGGGAGCTGTGTGGCTGCAGTTGCCCACCTTAATATTGCCCCGGGTGCAATAAGGCTGTGAAGCTGAGCCCTGGCCAGAGGGACATGAGCACCTGCTCATCCCCAGTTTCCCCAGCTCGCTTTTGCAAGCAAGCAGGACTGTGAGGCCACACTACCTGGGTGCAGCTGGTTCCCTTCCCCAGTTGTTCTCAACCCTCAGCCAGGTCCAACATTGAGCCGAGGGCTGGCGCAATGGGGAGAGCTGCCCCCAGCAGCCCATGTCCACCCAGGAGCGAGCTCCAGGGTCTCCCACCCAGACTCCTCACCGCCTTCCCTCGAAACCAACACTGCCCTGCCTGACCCTCCTCCCTCCAGCTCTAACCCAAGCCTACTCCCCCAGCAGCCATTTCTCACCTTGCTTTTCCCCATCAGCTGTGCTTTACACCATCCCCTCTCTCTTCCAGGCCTCCCGCCCTTTCGCCACAGCTCCTGGCCCTTTGTCCAGCTGAGCATCAGGATTTATCCGCCACCTCCCAGGCACAGTATCACTTCTGCCCAGCTTTACTCGTACCAGCTGCCTGGGCACAACTTGGGTCTCCTCTGCCGCGGAGGAGGGTCTCTAATTCCTATCTGCCCCCCAAGAAAATTATGATCTTTCCAAACATATTTGGCTTCCCATGGAGAAAGCAGAGGACATTCCTGACACAAAATCTACCTCCCATCTCCAGAGAATGAGATGGGGAAAGTTTAGGGAAGAGTCAGTTTGAACTGTATTACTTTTATATGAAGAAAACATTTTCTTTTCCTTTTCTGTGTCCTTTGAAATGGTTTCATAGATGAGGTTTCAAAAGTTTAAGTGGATGCCCAGCGTGGAATATTTCTGCTGTAATACTTATTTTAGTAAATCCGTCAATCAGCCGTAAAGTAAGTCTCCCAAGTAAGCGAACCTAAATGCTCCAGGGAGGCAGCTCCACTCTGTTCTGTCTCTGGCAGTGACTTTTGGTGGCTTTTGCACATGGTCTTGTATTTCTGTTGTATTTGTATACCGTGCAGGTGCCATCACTTTTGTGCCAGGCTTGTAGGTGTCTGTCATTTCAAGCTCACCTCAATGTAGTTCTTAATTGTTCTTAATCCCATGGCTGCGTTTGTTTTACCATTCCCAGCCCAATATAGCCAGTCATTTGAATTAAATGGAGAATAATAGTTGACTGGTCTTTATGGGACTCTTCAGGGAATTTCCTATGGCAGGCATTTACTGATGCCAAAAAACATTTAGCTAGTCAGCCAGAACTGATTCTCTAATGTAAGTATACAAAGCACGTCTTGATTTCTTGTTTTAATAAATGATGTCACAGTTAAGACTGGACAGATCTAGAGATGCTCATCCTCTTGCTTGGAGGCAGCTGCAGCTGTGCTGGTGTGGGAGCAGTGTCAGCCCACCTGTTCCCCTGGGAGAGCTTTAATGCCAAGCCCCTGTCGGAAAAAGGGAGAAACCTCCCTTTTGCCCCACACGTACGCTCAGCTCCTGTGTCCATCACACTGGCAGTGAGCTCCACTAAGCGCAGGTGCATTAGTTTCTTAGGTTCTCTCTCTACTTTATTTATTTGTCATAAATTTTTTTTTTCCTTTTTCAATTCTTTCCCACACCTTCTCCTTCTATATGTTTTTTAAAACGTCATGTGAAACAGGAGAAAGTCGCGCTTCCTCATTCATACATTCTTGTTGGGTGAGATTATCCTTCCTATCAGCATTTCAAATTTTTCATGCACTATTTATTTCAGGGCCATGGGACGTTGCTGTTCTGGCACAGACTAGCCAGACAAAAGACATCCTCGTACTTGCAATAATAACTTCGGGGCTTTTGCTCCACTTTTCTCCCCCTAACCCTGTAGCACCATCGCTCTTCTATCAGCAGGTGCCCTAAATACGTTACCTGTGAAGGTTTTCTGAGGCTACACTAAGCTGGGCAATAAAAACGGGCGGGCCCGCTTGCCTTCTCCCATCATTCCCGTTCGGGCCAAAAGGCTCCCTAAGATGCCCATTAGCCGCCCGCAGCCTGCGAGGGGGCGATCAGAGCCGGAGCCGGGCGCGGCCCCTGCGCGGGC